ATAGCTTTTATATAGCATTGAAGAGAAAAGGCAGAAAAACAGATGTTTGGACTTCAGGACTTAAACCAACAGCTCATACAAAAACCTTTCTTCACTCTTTGCTCGATTAGTGGAAAATCTAAAATAAAGCAGCAGCTGACTATTCAAATGCAATTCAATCGTAATTGTGATTCTTTGAATAGGAAAGAATGCAGAAATTTTAATGTATATTCACATGCATAGGAAAAATGCTTTCCACTTGTTTTTACTAACTGTCCAAACTTTTTGTTGACTAACTTCTGTATTACTTTACGTTTTACATATGTTTTTGTTATTTGTCAGTTTATTAAAATATCAAACTCTTCCACAAATTGGCTATATTTTTTTTATTATACATCAACTTGAAGATTTTAATAGCTAAGTTTTGATACTACTTTTAGTCGATACCATTATAACAGAAATAGTTATCAATTATAAAAACATACTTGATTTGAGTGTGCTGTAAGGAGCTTCCAAAAGGTCAACTCTCTATATATATTTAAGGTTGTTAGATCATGCAGACGGACAGACATTTGGACGGACAGGTTGTAAATAGACTCAGCTTATCGTTCTGATCAGGAATAAATATGATTTGTGGTGTCTGTCATGCCTCTTTCTACCCGTTACAAACACTTACAAAATTATACCCTGATTTCCCATTTTCAAGGGGCTCAGCGTATAAAAAATCAAATAATATATTCCCCAAGTTCCGACAGTGGTTTGTTTAGGCAACTTGACATTAACAACCCACACTGTATTTATTTATATTCATACACCTATAGAATAGACTACTTAATCAATGCGTCACAATTAATAGCCATAATTAGAACAAACTATTCACAATATTTTCTCCTTGAATTTTATGTTATTATTATTTTTAATACATTCGGCATACTAAGGCTTGTTTAGGAATGCCAACGTCATGATAATATACCCATTCTGGTCACCGAATCCAGATTCGATTGGCCCCCACATCAATGTTTTATTCATTTGCTTAGTAGGCTGTGTATACAGCTCATTACAAACAATCAAATATCAATAGGAACGCCTGAAATTACACGGCCTGTGGCACCATGAATGAACTCCCAAAGTGCCTCAGTGTAGAGACCCTCAAAAACTAAGATTCAGCTCGAGTGCCAAACATATATGAAACAGTAAAACTTAATTTGCTGTTTATGCCAGAGCCTAATGACAACTGTCGACAACCAAATGGCAACTGGCGGCCAAGGCTTGGGTTTTGTGTTGGCGCCAGCTCCGCTGAGGATTTAAGGATTAATAAGCCAACTTTGGGGCGGCGCTAATGAACTGTGCGCTAAGACCCCAGAAATGAACTGACGAACTGCAAATGAGCGAACGACTGGACTGGACGCACAACGCGTCGTATGTGTGATAGCCAGCTTAGGCGACCATTTGACATTTTCCGCACGCATACAGATCCATGATATATGCCTGCATACATAAGGAGAAAATTGTTTGGGCAAATAAACGTAACATTTGCGTTGATTGCCAAATGCCGTCGGCTGTTGTTGGTCTATGATCCAGCTGCATATAAAATATAATGAAGAAAAATAACTTAAAGCGACGCAGCCATAAAATAAATGAGGCAGCAATGGGAAGTTTTGTGGCTCAAATGGCATGTTTGTGGACAACACATGCTAACATGTGTAGAACTGATAGGTATCCTTATGTCCTGGGGTCGGGCGAATATTTCTTGGTAATTTGCATTGCCAAAAAGTTAAAGGATAAATAAGGATTGCCAATCCTTTTTGTTGATCGGGGGCTTGGCGAAAGTTTTATTTGGCTTATTTATTATGCCCTATATGACATTTGCATGGGTGGCCGAAAAACATTTGCGGCCACTTTAATGTCGCAGCATTCAGCGCAGGCCAACTGAATGATAAATCAAAGCCCCTTACGGCCTTTATTGGACTTGTTTGGGAATTTGTTTACGATACGGTAAGAGCAAATGTCATCAAATGGTATTTGTATTTTTAGCGCATATTTCATAAATCAAAACTTTTGTTGTCTTCCAAAATTCTTGGGCAACTTTTGATTGCCTTTTTAGACATTTGTCGACATGTACATTTTGCATAGCTGACCAAACAGCTTCAAATATATTTCGTCGCTGGCTTAAAAGTTATGAGATCCACTTTTCATTCCATTCTATGTATTTTGTGTCGGCCTGTCTGACTTATAATTAAATAAATTTTCATTTAGCCTGTTGACACATTTGACTGCTCATTAAACATTTAAATAGCGCTGATTTCGGCCATACTAAATCATGCACGCTTTGTTCTCAGCTCTATGCACGCTTCTGTAATTTATGCTCGTTTCGATCTAATATTATATTAGACTAACTTGTTTAAACTTGACCACATTTCACACAACAGAAAGCCAAAATGAAACCAATGCCATATTTTGTTGCCTATAATTCGCGCATTAATTTCTATTTTACGACCACCGAACCAAAGGCCCCAAAAAACATGTCAACAATAAAAAGTGAGAAGCGTCGAGGGACCCCAATTTAAAATATATAAATTTAGTTCTTTCTTTCGCTTTAGCTGTGTGTGCATACCATTTGCCTAATGACGACTGTGAAATATTTGTAAAAAATATTTCTGTGCCAATTGAAACGTTTTATTTATTTATACATAATTAACACATGTGAGAAAATGGTGAAGAATGAATTCTCTATTCAGCGTTCATGTTTGGTCTTAAAACAGGAATATTATTATTATCATAAAGTTTTTAATGTGCAGCAATAATATTTATATTATTATAAAATTTTTATATTAGAATTAAAAATGATAAAATAAATAAATAGGAAAATCTGCGCCGCTTGCATGGTACATATAGTGTGAGAAACCTAATATACTCTAAGCTACCTATCCTGGTATAAAAATAGAAACAACAAGGAAAAACGTTCCACTCAGGCGCGACCGACTACATTATACTCTGTTCACCCAGGCATATATGGAATATTATATTTCAGTTTTTTTAATAGATGCAGAACACATCGCTTTTATGTTTATTTGTGGGTGAGGTTATGTTCTTCGAATTATAGAATTTTTACACCACATACAATAACGTTAAAAGAGACGGGACAAGGCGAAGCGCAGGACGGACAGTGTACAAAGCTAATATCCTTTTACCCTTTAGAAACTGAGTATATACAAAGAAAAATAAAAATGAACTTTCAATGTACTTGATTAGTTTTTAACTTTTATAACTAGTAGATAAATATTCATCATCATAAAATAGTAATAAATAATATTCAACATCATATTTAATATAATTCGAAGCTAATTTTAGATGAATATAAGTTGTTTAACTACAAATCATTTCCAACTTCACTTCGCGCACCAGGAGTCATTTAAAGAGGTGTCGTCGCGGTCCATTTATTTTTGGGATTTTTAGCAGACACCATTCTAACATTTTCATCCGAAGTTTGTCTGTGTGCAGAGTATTTGGCAGCCGGTTGCAAGCTTTTACGACATAATGCGCATAACAAAATATGTTGACTGCGCTTTTACATGAATTTAATGAGCATGAAGAACGTAAATTATATTTGCAAAATGAACAACTCAAATTTAACAACATAATTAACGAGAAGTATGCATAATTTTATGAAATGCACTAACAACTAATTTGTGCATGTATCGGACGAGCTGCTCCCAGTGCGCATTGGGCGACTCGGACTTTAGTTACCTGCCCAAGTCGGGGATTGTGTTTAATTGGGGCATATTTTATGTAGCCGTCATTTGGGCGTCTATTAATTATCTGTAAATGTGACAATGGCAGAATGGAATCACTTTTTGAGAGCTCTTCGCTTGGCAAACGTTGTTTTGGGTTTCTCTTGGTTGTTGTTGTTTTTAATGATCCTAAGATTTGACGACATAACGGCATATTAAACGCAGAAGAACGCAGGAGAGTGCCTGCTAACGATGTACACTAAAAATAAAGCAAAGCAAAGCAAAGCAAAAGACGAACGAAAAAATTGCCCCAGCCAGCCCAGGCCAACATTATTAATAGGCACTTAAAACTGTGTGGGGGCAGGCTAGAGCATAGCGCTGCAAGTGATAGGCACACGGCGTGGGGCGCAGGCAAGGACGGACGCCGCAGATTACGAGCCGTGGAACGTTGATGAAGACACGTTTTTACATTGCGTATATTGACGTTAAAATTAGATGCCAACTTGTCGACGACGCGTCGTTGGCAGAGTCTCAGCCTCAGAAACAACGCGTATCATATTTTAGCTGATGCTCAAAATGATGATGATAATGGAAAGATGGGATGATGCCTTAGCCAGTAGTTGCGGCATGTGAATGGTGATGAGCTGGCCCAGCCAAATAAGAGCGCTTCCTTCCCGCGCTTCCTCAAATAAATGTGGCTGTCATAAAGGCGATGATATATGGTTGCCTCACGTTCCGACACACAAATCAACATGTTAAATAGACCAGGCTAGTGTTGAATGTTATTTTTAAGCAAGTATCACTATGCCAAGCATGAGTACACAAATGTCGCATAATATGTAACAGCTGATGGGCAACCAAATTTTGAGGTCCCAATTGTCTGATACATAGCTGAGCAGAATCAGTAGATTTGTTGAGATGAGTTTCTCAGATTTTCCGACTCAGATTGGCATCCCTTTAGCAATTAGTATTTCAAAAATTGCTCATTATTGTAATAATGCTCGTGAGTTCAGGATATAAGCTAAGAGAGTGAATCACGAATGCGAAACAATTAAAATAAACGGCATGAGTAGATAATGAGTAAAACAGATGTCAATCACCTCCCAGGAACGGAAACCCTTCCGCAAGGCTATGTCAACGCTATGTCAAAAATCATCTTGTGTAACTATAAGTAAGCGATATTTATCAATTCTCTCTCTCTCTCCTCTTTCTGAGTAATTTGTTGAAATTGGGTTGCTTAAAACCACACACAGTAAGCATTCGACCCTCTTTTAATAGAGCACAGGCGTGTTTGAGAGTGTGTATATGAGGGAATATAATTGCCAGTTGAGCTAAACCGTTTCACTTGAATTTATTGTGCTGGCATTGTATGCTATAGCAGGCTAAGCTATATATAAATGGCTGATATGAATATTACTTTTAAAACCCCCACTTGTTGGGCTCTAGTGGCTCTATGTCTCTGTACTGCTCGCTCGTCTTGCACAATGCCGGATAGATTCTGTCATAGCCGCTTTGGCAGTTCAGGCTCTTCACTCTATAAATGGCATGCTCGGGCACAAAATTGCTGGCGTAGTTACAGGCCATTAGGAAGTTCTGCACTAGTCCCTTGGTAAATCTCACGGCCGCGCAACCCACGTGTGTGTTGTTGTCGCGCGCCATCACCGCAAAGTTACGCACGAAGCTGTTAAGAGAGGGGGAGATAGAGAAAGACATTTCTGTGGAATTGCATTGACGCACTCGGTAATTTTTGTTTCCTTGGGAAAGTAGTCCACTCGCTGCTGTGTTATGTTCTTGTACTGATTCCACCAGCCATCGATGGTAGAATTAATCAGTTCCTCATTTGTGATATCTGTTTTGTTAATGGTTATAAGCGCCAAGTTTTGACCGGAATTACGAAAGTCGAAAGTGTTGTGGCAAGGATCATAGTGCAGCGCACACTGCTTAACATTAAGAGTCGCTAGCTGCTCCAGTTCCTCATGCCACTGCATCGTAGCCATTTTCTCGGGACTCCGTAAGCCCTCGATCTTGCCGGCGGCCAGCAAATTGCGTGGCTGGTTGTGTCGGCTAAGAATAATCGCCTGATGCTGGGAAAGATTCAGAAGCTCCGTTGTTGGTGGACACACCTTGGCCAGTTCCTGATGGGATGGACAAGAGATCAGCTAGTGGTGCATAGCCACTGATGCGATACTTACGCCATTATTCTTGCAGCCAATGTGCTTTTTCAGACTGGAACACAGGCCTGTTTGGCAGTAATTGGTTTCGTTCTGGCAGTGTACTTGCTGCAGAATCACCAGCAGAACTATGGCCAACAGATGCTTGTAGTAATGCGGCATGTTACTTCGTTTTTGTTGAGTGCTTGGTGTTAGACTGGGGCTTTTATAGTTGATTTTAGCCACTTTGCCAGCTCAAGCGTTGGTGCTTTGACAACTGTTTTTGGCTAAAACAACTGTTGCTAATCACTTTACTACAGCTTATTCATGCCTATGTGGCTTAGCACATTATGCAGCAGACACACATTCTTCATACACACACACACACAATTCATTGCTTCAAGTGTCATGCAAATGAGACTAACTCAGGGGCTATCAATGCCAAAGGCATCCGAACTGCTTCTGTGAATGGCTTGCCGCCTCGACTTGCCACACTTGACACTTACTATAAAAGAAGAGAAAAAAATGTTCAAAATAAAAGTAGAGTAGAACGAGTAAAGCGAAATGAGTGTTGAAATGTCAACGCAAAAATACTTTTCATGCTGCAATTTAAGCCGTAAACACAACACAGAATGTTCTGTGAATCTCTGCTGCAATTCATGAAAAGACAAAAAGACGAAAAGCAAAACGAAGCAAAAAGGATAGAAAAACGACACGGTTGAAAGAGAAATGGAAACGCCGCCATTCCATACCCTCGCCGCTCATTTGCTACCTCAATTGAAATAGTTTTTCTTGACGCCAAGTTTCGAATGGACATTCTTCTCCTGTAGTTTTTCACTTTCATTTAATTTTTTCAAGTTTTGCAGAAAAGAAAACCACTTGAAGTACTATATATATGTATCTATATATGTAGTACTTAGACCTCATCCCAAACCAAAGCTTCACATAAGTGAACTATAAACAAATTGAGCATAAGCTCCCCCAATGCTAAAAAGCGTGAGAATGCTTAAACAGCATTTTCATCAATAGCCAAATAAATAAACAAAAACTCATCATTCCATAACAAGTGAACAACGCACACATACACAGAGTAAGAAAATGTTAACTTTAATCATAATTTTTACGCCGACGATTGTCTTTCTGCCTTTATAGAAAAGTAATTCTTTTGACTACTGATGAAAATGATTAAGCAATTCCACGCTTTTTAGCATTGGAACTCAAATTGTTTATAGTTTATGTTTATAGTTGATTTTTGCATCATTATTTATTTCCTTTATATTTTGTATTAATCTTTGACGCATCATTATGGAGTAGTTTACGTTTGCATAACGTTTCCTTTGCGTTCTCTTACAAAGACTTCAAGAGTATCAGTTTCATCATAATCGACCTGTCCAGTCAACATTTATACAACATAAGAAGCAATTAAGACTGTTCTAGTCGAGACGGCTCGACTAGGAGATACCCTGAACCCTGCATGTAGGAGATGTTCCAAACATTCTACGATTTTGTTACACATGCAATGCAAACAACACATGCACACACATACTCATACACACGCATGCATAAGTTTGAGGGAATGGTGTTGGTAATAGAAGCCTACAGAGCAAATGTGAGTTCAGTACAATTTTCGAACTACGCTTAAAAAAGAAAGCAAATTATCGAATTTTTCATGGCATGTGTAATAGAGAAAAACTATAAACTTGTACTGCTTTTGTGGCATACGAGATCGCTTCGTTCACACGGATGGACAGAAGAGATCGACTTAGCTAGCCTACTCGCCTCCTTCTGTCTTTTACATACATTTTCCCAAAACCAATATACCCTGAATTCCAATTTTCAATGGATTCAGGGTATAGGTAATAAGTAAGGAAAGTATTGACGTTGTAGGAGCGTTAGCTGAGCAAGACTAAAATCAGTCATTGCTCATTGGCTTATGTTTATATCAGAACAAATGATCAGAAAATTGTTTAAATAATGTTGAATTTCATGGGAGGGTCCGCTCAATTTCTATTATTAGTCAAGATCAATATTCCGCAAAATAATAATTTGGGCCGAATAACATGTCGATGGCATGTGGCATAATAATAAGCCTCATTTTTACTGTCAATTCAAATCGAAAATTATTCAGACTTCAGCAATTGTGGGCGTAAAGGTCATGTCAACTAAATTGAATTTTATTCAGAATGTGATCAAATGTTCTTTGATGTAAATAAATAAATGTATCGATACTTCAAACGGTTTTTGATTTATATTCTAATAACAGGTAACCCCTCAATTTTTATATATATAAAATTATATAGGTATATAAGTGTAGGAATATGTACATATATTTGTAATAACAGGTAATCCCTCAATTTTTATATATATAAAATTATATACGTCTATAAATGTATGTGTAGGGATATGTACATATATTTGTAATAAATAATGAGAACTAAGATCTTTGACAATATTTGAAAAATATTTTATGAGCCAAAAACGAGCTACGTGCCAATGCAAATTGACATATCTTAATATGGGAAAAACAGTAGACAGATTTAATAATTTAGTGAAGAACAAGAAATATATGTTATTAACGCATATAACAAGAAAAGCATGCCAATTCTTTAAATTGATAAGAGAAGGAATCAGTAAAAATAGGGAACCGACTTGCTTATACCTGTGAGCGAGAAAGATGTTGAGTTAGCCATTTAATTTGTTGCCAAGAGAGACAGGTATAACAGCAGAGAAGCGACAGTGGCAAAGCTAAATTCAACAGCAGGGGAAAATAAGTCACAACAACAGTCAGATTATTTCTTTATGACTGCAATAAAACGTAAAGCTTACAACAAGAAAATCTGTAGTTTCCCAAGTCTAATAACGGAAACTACTATTATTATTATTTTAGCTGACGCCAATTAAATTTCAAGCTTTATGGTCGTGTAGCAAATAAAGTAAAATGAAAAAGAAGGTAAAGAGAAGTAAGCTGGTTGTGACCGACTGCCCATTGCACTGTTTGCGATTCAATTACACTTCAGTTAAGGCTTCAGAATCTTTTAGAAGTATGCGCTTTAAGGTTTACAATATATATATACCCGAGCTGACAAAGTCTTCTTTAATATAAGTTAAGGTAAAGGTCATTTGCTTTATGATTACAAAAGAGAATAGAAATTTGAGAGCTGAAATACTCTTCACAAGTTTGCAGCTACTGCAATTTTTCTGGGCAAGTTTCTTCCATTTAGAGCACGTTAAAGGAATGGTTTAAGCAAAGCGAAAAGGAGACAAGAAAAGCTTCGCCTTACACTCACTTTTCGCTTAATTGGATTTGCTTAGGCGCCGTGTGCCCTGCACTACCCATTCCTGGCTAATAATTGCAGTTTGTAATTATTTTTGCAGGGATTAAACGCTGCGAACGACAGCAGCTTAAATGTATCTTTTCTCTTCGCCTCTCCTGTTCACTTTAAATTTTAAGTGTCTCCTACGAAAGTCAGTTTTCATTTAAAGCATTGTTCGCATATTTAAATAGTGAAATAAACAGAAATTTATTTTTGATGCCCCTAGGACTGAAAACATTCGCACTCCCACACACCAAGCTCATATGCATATATGTATACACACTGGTTAACTTTCACACTTGGGGTTAAAATCAATTTCATTTAATTTCCTCAAAAATCAGAAACGCGTTGCCAGCAACGTCCTTCGACTTTGGTTTTCTTTTGATTGGCGGCAATTGGCAGCATGCTTAGTATACACACACTTCTGCACATCATTGTGTACATGTTTGTTTGTAAGTGTGTGTGTGTGTGTGTGTGTGCGTGTGTGTGTCAGTGTACCAAAGCGGAAATTGAAATTCTCACACATGCACACATGCATAGATACATATATATTATGCAGTGTAGGAGAGTTTTGAATTTGTTGACTCCTTGCCTCATTCCCACGCTTAGATTGTTGGCTTCCTTCCACTGCCATATGCAGCATTTATTTGCATATTTAAGGGCAAAATTTAAATGTTATGCATGTAAGAGGCAGTCAGGCGTAAATGCTGTGTACGGGAGTGCCGAAGTATGTCTGAGTCTGCGAATCACATTGGGATGTCAATAAAACAATGACAATGTCGCAATCCTGAATACCATTTCTTGAGCTGCACGCGCCATACGCCTCGGTCCTGTCACTTAAAATGCTCAACTCAATTCGTTTTGTCACGTCCATGTCGCATCGAACAGTCAAGCAGCTGAGAAGCTGCCTGAGCTTCAGTTTGTGTCACGCATTATTAACACACGCTTCGTAGCCTAGTTGACAATGCAGCAACAGCAAACCGCAAGAGCAGAGACATGTGCAACGCGGCGTATGCGCAATACCGAATGACAGGACTCAACAGTGCTTTTGACTGGCAGTCAGTATCTGCCAAGAGTTTGACTGCCACTGCCACTGCGAGTGCCAGTGCCAGTGCCAGTGCCAGTGCCATGCCGTCTGCGGCTTTAACTGTGGGGTCGTGAGCTGATTGCAAATCGTATTGCAATTCCAATATCTTCCATTTGTAGTGCTTGAGGACTGCCCACATTTATGGCCAGCGCGTGGCGCCAGCTAGCTTTTCTTACACACTGTCAACGGGTATTTTAGTTTGGACTCCAAGCAGCAGCAAAAGGCAGTTTTATAAACCAAATATTTCAGCAGTCAAAGCTTCAATTGACAAAAAAATAAAATATTTTTAATAAGCGAAATAAACTTATTCCAAATCGCAGTATGAATGTGTGTAAAGACTGGTTTATCTCTCTTTGTTAACTGAGTTGTGTTTGTATATAAACTAAATAATGATACATTGCGTGAACATTCAAGAGTATGAAATAGTCCAGACACTGAAGGTATTTGTGCACTCTTGTTTTTTTGTTTTCAGTTTTAACTCTGCCAAGGCTGAGATTTGTTTGCCGTTGTGCGACGGTGAAGAGCTGGCAAAAATATTGTACTCGCCATTCCTTTCTACCTTATTTATTTTGCATTGTCGTCCGCCTGCGCTTATGCAATGGCTTTTGGCACGTTCAGCAATGCTTGAAGCGCGCGGTGAATGTTCATGTGTGCGCGTGCCTCTGTGTGCGTGCGTATGTGTGAGCTATGCAGCACTTGCACTAATGAAAAGTCTTGTGGCTGTGGTAATGTGTATGCTGAAAATGGCATTTAACAGCTCAAAGGCATGCACCAGTAGCCAAGAGGCACAGATAAAGCGAAGACCAACTCAA